TAAAGGTATGCGTATAGGAATAAATACGTATTTTCATTTGGAGAAAAGTGGTAGGAAGAAATTGAAGACAGGTTAAGGAGTTAGAGAGTAATGAGGGTGTGGAGATTCTTTTATATAAGAATGCTCAACTATGACTTCTCTGAAGAGAAGTGAAGTGAGGGAATGAGCTGAGCTATGTGAAGAAGGAGAGGATATCATCCCAGACATGAGAAAGAGCACAGGTGCAAAGGCTCTGGAGCCCAAGCTTGGTGAATTTGATGTACACTGCAGACCAATATTGAGTGAGACTAGAGGAGTATAAAAGGAGATTAGGTGTTAGAGATAGGCGGGGGTCCTCTTTAGATTTTATTCTGGTAAGAACTTTGTGTTTTATTTTGAGTGTGATGGGAAACCATTGGAATTAAAAAAAAAACCTTTATTTTGAAATATTCGACAAAGAAAAATTGCAAAAATATTACAGAGTTGCCATATTTTCTTCACCCAGTGTTAACATCTTACGTAACCATCACTGGAATAATTTTTTGAGGGTAGTTAGTACTTTGCTTTCAAATGCCCGCCCTCCTGCAGTTGTGTGGAGAAGATTGAGTAGGCAAGAGCGGAAGTACAGAGACTAGTTAGGAGGCCACTGTAGTGGCCCAGATGCAAGTTGATGACTATGGTAGTAGCTGGACAGCTCTTTCAAAGAGGTCTCTTATTTATAAGAAGTCTGGTTTAGAATAACATACTAAGAAATAGAAGAAAGTTTTCCCTGAAACCAAACTCTATAGTCAGTTGCTTTATAAAAGGAGCAAACAAGTAACACAATTTAGATCAAGAAAATAATTTATTATGCATAAGCAGTGTCGATAATGAAAGGATCATTAAAATGGATGAATAAAAAACTAAAGCTGCTTTTTTCTGTTGAAAATCAGTGAGTTGGCTCTCGTAGGCATTGAATCCTCATTGTAATTTGCTAGTACTTTATCTTTGATAGAATGAAAATTAGTAAAAACTAAATTTCAGTCAGTTTGCTAGATACTTATTTTGGTAGGGAAATTGTTTTTCCCCCCTATATTTTTATTGTTGACACTACTACAGATGTCCCCATTTCTCCCTCTTTTCCTGCCTCCACCCATCCTCCCAAACCTCCCTCTAGTCATCACCTGTATCTGTGGATTATGTATAGCTCTTCTTTGCCTCATTCCTTCACCTTCTTTGCCAAAGTCCCCCCTCCACCCTCCTCTCTGACAGCTCTCCATGCCTCTGTTTATATTTTTTGTCACTCTGTTTTTTAATTGTACAAAGATTAATTACCAAGATTTTTATGTATAAAGATATGGTCATTTTGCTGATATGGCTAATGTTTGTTCTGATTAAGTTTTAATACATTTTACTTGAACGTTAAGAATAATGATCCTGTAGTAAGAAATTTTGGTTTTTTATTTAAAAATATTTATTTATTTATTTATTTTGAGAGAGATGGGAAGGGAGGGAGAAAGAGAGGGAAACATTGATATGTGAGGGACACATCAATCAGTTGCCTCTCACACATCCCCAGCAGAGGATCTGGCCTGCAACCCAGGCATGTGCTGTGACTGGGAATCAAACCAGCAATCTTTTGGTTCACAGGCCAGCACTTAGTCCACTGAGCCACACCAGCCAGGGCTATAATTATAATTAGAAATTTTAATTAAACCATTGTACATATATATATATTTTTAATATACTTAATCTACATATTTGTGATACACTTTTAAAGAGAATTGAATCAGTTCCTCTCAAATTGTGCTTTTCTAATGTACTGTTCTGTAACATGTTCTGTAATGTGATATTCTGTAACATTAATTTATTACTAATCAGTGTTCTTAAACCGTTTCCTGGTTTTTATTTACTATAAGACAAAGATGATGAATTAAGAAAACCTTGTTCTGGATGTTGAACCTAAAGTTAATTTTTAGTAGTTTTTATTCTCCTGCACTTCAAGAGCTAAAATACAGCCGTTTTGTTTTGTTTTTTTTTCCTCCCCACCATTTGAAGCCTGGGAGAGTTGGAAGACACTTCTTTGCTTTTTGTTGTAGTGGAAGTCTTTCATTTAGAGCTTTACTAAATTTAGTTTCATTAGATAGGACGCATAACTGTAAACTGTCTCATAGAGATGTTGAGAGGATTGTGTGAGATACTTTCAGAATCTTTGGAATAATGCCTGGCAAAGAGTGCATGCTCATTAACTATTAGTGGCATTGGGATTAATTAAAATAACTTTATTTTTGCTTATTTTGAAGAAGTGGTCTGTGAGCCTTATTTGTCACTCACCTGCTATTCAGTGAGCCGCTTCTGGTTGCCGGGCACTCTTAGATGTCCTCATGTACATTATTTTGACTGACTATACACATCAGCTCCCATTTTGATGATGAGGATATTAGGTTCTGAGAGGTTAAGTCACTTATCTGTGGTAGCATAATAGGAGATTGGCTTTCTAGCATCACCTACCAAAACATGTCACCTGATACTGATGTATAGCAGTCTTCTAAATTTGTCCTGATTACTCGTCTGATTGATCTTTATATTGGGTGCTTCTTTATGTGCAGCTCTGTGTGATAAGGGTTGTGTAGATAAAATTGAATTTGGTAGATTGTCTTTCATGTTTGATGTACCTGTGATATAAGGTAGAAAGTGATACTATTAGAAAGTATACCCATTTTGAGGGGGGAGATACTATAAATAACATTTAACAGGGAAGAGGTTCAATCAGGGTTTTTTCTTGAAAATACAGTTAATGTTTAAACTGAGTGGTTTATGGGTAGTGGGATTTGGATATAGAATAGATAAGTGACGGAATTATGACACCTCAGTAGAGGAAACAGTAAAGAAAACATGAAATATGTGTAGAAAATAATGAATTGTTTTGGTTACTGTGTATAGTGTGTGAATGCATGTAGGGGAAATTTTAGATTGTAAAGAAAATTGTGTAGAGCCTTGAAAACTATTTTGAATTCAGATATCTGTTAGTCAGTAAATTATTTAGCCACTGTAGAGGCTAGATATATATGGTTTTGGGGGGAAATAAAGTTGAATGAGAAATTTAGACTATAATAAGATTTTATTAACCAGAGAGATGCTGAGCATATAGAATGGTAGAATGCTTTTGTAGGATTAAGAACATTAGATTTGTAATCCTGGCCCTGTAATTATGTAGTTACAAAACTTAGAGAAGGTTCTTTTAAATTCTGTGGGCATTAAGTTCTGAATATGTAAAGTGAATGTTTGTATAAAAGAGCATTAAGGCCTGTAATAAGTATGATGGTGAATGTGTCATTTTTGTCCAAATTAGAAATTGAAATTGAAAGAAGAGACTATTAATAATTAAACTCGGCAGCAACCAGTTATAATTGTGCTTTGTAACCTATTATTCTGAGTCTACTTTCATCTGTTTATAGTTTCAAAACTCATTTAAAGTACTGAAAAGGAGGAAAAAAGAGTAAGACATCAATCATAAATGTTTGATGTTGTTGAACAAGGTAAAGATAGTATAATCAGATGGAATAGAATCATTTTAAATAAGTGTCTTTGATGCTGTGGTGGTATTAATTAAAAATATACATATAAATATAGAATTGTTTGGAAACATTGTTCAAAATAAACTCAGCAACTCTTATAGGTAAAGCTAAAAACGGTTATATAGCACTATAAGTATATACGGTCATTTGCTTGACATTTGAGGGATGAAATGAAGTACTTCATTTACACATGTTTTCCAGTCATAATTACTTTTTAAAATAGCTTTGGGGATTGCAGTATTTAGCGTAATTTATCCTGTAGTAGCTGTGTCTACCAGACTGCTGTGCTTCTGTTTTAAATAGTCTTTTTGTAGTTTGACTCTTATCTTGATGTTATGTTCACTACTTTACTTTTGCTTATACAATAGTTTAATGCAATTATATAGAGATTCAGCTCTTACCCCAACCTCCTTGTGTAAGCATACAAAGAACAATAAGAGGATCTCAAAATTGTGAGGGTTTTTTTTATGGCAATTTTGAACTACTTTCTCATTTTTTCTCATTTAACTAGATTAGTGAGTATTCTCAGGCCTTTAATGTGCATTCAGATCACCTCGGTATCTTATTAAAAGACAGATTCTGATTCAGTAGGTCTAACGTGGGCCTGAGATTATGCTTTTCTAACAACTGCCTAAATGATGTGGAAATTGCTCCTCTGTAGACTGCACACAGTATCAAGGTTCTAAATGTTTTATTGGAGCTCTAGCAGTCTTATGATAGAGGGCATTAAATACGGCTGAATTCTTTTAGAAATCATATTACCGGTAATAGTTGTTTTAAAAGGGAAAATTAGGACTTATGAATTTAATAAGAAAATTGGTTGAAATAATATTTGTCTTTTGTACTCACATTTCCCTCTTTCATATGTTTACCAGTGTCTTAACTCTAGTTTTGCTTCTTTCTCATTTCTTTTTTGTTGTCGTGGTTTTTGCTTTTGTTTAATGTATTATTGTGTTTTGTGGATCTGGTCAGGGAACCTTTACTGTATTTTATGTTTGTATCTACATTTTATTTTGCATGCTTAACGTGGCTTTGCCTGGATGTTCTTTTTGGTAAGTTACAAATTTATAAAACATTGTTTTTTTGTAGTGTAAGTTATAATGCTTTTTACCTTTTTTTCTTCCACTTCTAGTAATGTGATCATGTTCATTAGTGGTTTTTAATTTTTTTAAAAAGTTCATTTGATAATTATTTTTTCCTAACATTTTCCAATTTTCCTTAATAGTAGTGTAGTTTGGTACTAATCTGCTTTGATTCATTTTATAGCCTCACACTGTCAGTTGCTGATCACTATTAGCAGTTGCTGTCTCAAGTATTTTGGTTTTTTAAAAAAGCCTTAGTCATCTAGAAATACTGTTCTAAAAGCTTATGTTTTCACATAGCAATCATAGAAGAAAATAGTTTGTAGTAAATTTAAATATTTTTGTTCTCAGTGAACAGTGCATTCTGATTTTGTTTTTACAGCAACAGCTTGCACAGCTACAGAAAGAAAAATCAGAGATTCTGAAAAATCTGGCATTATATTACTTCACATTTGTAGATGTTATGGAATTCAAGGTATGTATTTTAACTTATGAAATGTTTTTAACATTTCAGAGGCTGATTTAATATTTGTTAACTTTGCAAATTGTTTTGTCATTTGTAGATAATAAATTAAAATTCTTCTAGAACTACATTTTAAAATACATATTTTTTCAGTGTGTTTTCTGAATTTCATATTTATATAGATAAAAGATTAAAATAAACTTTTATTTTCAGGACCATGTTTGTGAATTGCTCAATACTATTGATGTTTGCCAGGTCTTCTTTGATATTGTAAGTATTATATTCAGAAAAATTCCCATTTTCTCTTCTCTATTTCTAGTATACTAAAGGGACTGAATCCTTTTCTTTAGAGAAAATGTATACGACTCGTATATAAAGTTTTAGTGTTGGTTACTTGGCTTCTTTTGTACTGTGTGTGTAAGATAAGGAGTTAAAATGTATTTTCTTTTTACCTTGTTTGTTTGAATCACTGAATAGAAATCTTGTACTTACTGAGAAGTCTTTGTTCATTTTAGTACGTCCAGTTAAGCAAAGTTAAGTGGATAGTGTTTTTCTCTGTAAAAGACATACTTGATAGACTCTTTCTCAGTGAGACAATTTATAAATATAGGAAGTCAAAGTGCAAAATGTCTCCATTGACTTAACGGTGAACTTTTTCATTTAATTCACACTCGTTTTCTTGCTTAGTGAGACTGGCTCCAGTGTTTATTATTATTGTGGGTTTGGTTATTCTTCTAAACTGGTATTAGTTTGAATAGGGCGATAACAAACTCTTTTTACATCCATAAAATTGTGTCAAAAACACAAAACCGTATTTGTAATTCCCAAATTTTAGACATGTTATTGGTGAAAAGAATTAGAATTTCAGAAATGGGGATAAAATAACTAACTATAGGAAATTATTAGCTTTCAGTAGCTTCCATGAAGATTGGTGTGTGTGTGTGTGTGTGCTCGCGTGCATGTGTGTTTTTAAAATTTGGCAAAATAGGAAGGAGTTAAACTTGATGTCTTTTTTTCCTAGACTGTAAACTTTGATTTAACGAAGAACTACTTAGACTTGATCATAACCTATACAACACTAATGATACTGCTCTCTCGAATTGAAGAAAGAAAGGCAATCATTGGATTATATAACTATGCTCATGAAATGACCCACGGAGCAAGGTAGACCTGCATTATAAAAATCTTAGTGAAATTCTCAATTTGATAGCTTACTGCTCAGTGAAATTTGATATGTCTATTTTAAGTGACCGAGAATATCCACGCCTTGGTCAGATGATTGTGGATTACGAAAACCCTTTGAAGAAGATGATGGAAGAATTTGTACCCCATAGTAAGGTAAAAGCTGGTTTTTATTTTTTAAAAGATTCTTAAAATTCATTTTTAGAGAGAGGGCAAGGGAAGGAGAAGAAGAGAGAGAGGAACATTGATGTGAGAGAAAAATATTGATTGGTTGCCTCTTTTTGTGCCTGACCATGGACTGAACCCGTAACCTAGGCTCATGCCCTCGCCAGGAGTCAAACTGGCAATCTTTTGCTTTGTGGGATGATGCCCAACCAAGTGAGCTACATTGGTCAGGGCAATAAGAGCTGGTTTTTAGATGTGCTTTAATAGACATGTGATATAGGTTAACTGTGGAAAGTTAGAGTGATAAACTTTTAGGAAACAAATTATAATGATGTATGAATAATAGCTATGCGTGATATGGTTTTATCTAATTGTGAACCAGAGCACTAATTAGAGTTTGAATAGTGTATAGAAACTCAGTAATATATTGACCCATTATAATTTTTAGATTTAATAGAGGGTGCCCTGGCTAGTGTGGCTCAGTGGATTGGGCACCGGCCTGCAAACCAAAGTGTTGTTGCCAGTTTGATTCTCAGTCAGAGCACATGCCTTGGTTGAAGGCTAGGTCATGTCCCCAGTAGGGGATGTGTGAGGGGCAACCACACATTGATGTTTCTCTACCTCTCTTTCTCCCTTCCCCTCTGTCTAAAATAAATGAATGAAATCTTTTTTAAAAAAGATATTAAAAAATAATTCTATAAAAAAAGATACAGGGTGTAGAGGTAGTGAAGTTTAGTATTTTGAGACTGTCTCCTGTTATACCAGACTGCCTGAGTGTTAATCCCTATTCTGTCAATTACTAACTGTGCAATATTGGAAAAGTTATTTAACCAACTTCACTATATATCAGTTTTCTTATCCATAAAAATGGAGTAAAGATAGTACCTACTTCTATATTATGAGGATTAAATTAATTACTTCATTTAAAATATTTAGATAACAGTATTTGATAAATTTTAGCTATATTATTATAATATAGGCTCTTAAGAGAAAAACTTATAGGAGTTTTGTGGAAATATTTTGAAATGTCTCTTTTATGATATATTTAAAAAATAGCTTTTAATGAAATAATTTTGGTTCTAAGGAATCTTGCTATTAATGACTTCTTTTCAACAGGGCTAATTCAAAGAACCATAGTTCCTAAGCACATCAAGGAAATTTATAGTTCACTCACACATCCATATTATTTATAAGTAAGGAAATTAAAGGCTGGAGAAGTGACATGACAAGCCATTTGTCAGCAATAGTGGTAAAACCAGAACTAAATCCCAGGATATTAGTATCTTGATTCATTGTTCTCTTTGGATGATAAAAGAATTTTTAGTAATACAGCATTTTGTATGAATCTAGGAATTTTTTTTTTTGACATATAGTTAACACCAGATTTTGTCCTTTTCCCTCTTAGTTGATGGAAATTTCCATAAAGGTTATTGGATCTCTTTTAAGTTCTCCATAGTTATTAGCATATACTAGACTATTCATAATTACTTGAAGAGAATTGACCATTTGGATCAGACCATTTATTTCCTAATCTTGATGTTTCTAATGCTCCAAGATATCTCGGAGTATCATGTATTTGCTAGAATTTGTTAATAATAAATTAATTTTAATTTAATTTTCAAGACCTGTTCCAAGTTACTTGGTGTAGTGTAATAATAATACAGATTCCTGGGTTCTAGTCCCAGAAATTTTTTCACAGAATTTTAGGTGAACCCCTGTGTTCTGTGTTCTGGACAAACTCCTCTGGCAATTTATGTGTAGGCTGATTAAAGAATCATTGTACAGAATTTTTAGGAAGCAGAGATGAATAGCAAAAGACAGTTAAAAGCAAGCAAGAAGCAGGTAATATGAAAAATTAAATACCTTGATGATGAAGCTGTAGTTAACAGACCAAGTGGCAAATAGAAGTTAAGTAATTTATTAAGATAGAGTACAGTGGATTATTTTTATGAGGCATTCTAGGAAAAATACGAAATATGTTGAGCTCTATTAACTTAGTCATATAACCTTAATGTCTTTTTCTTTCAGTCAGAACTCTCAGAGTAGAAAGTCATACACAGAAGGATGACAATACGAACTCTACTCCTTTAAAATAAAGATCCTAAAATTGCCAACCATTTTCACCCTTAGAAAAGAAACATGATTTCATGAGCTAAGCTCTTGCCCAGGAGCGCAGAATCCATGTAACTTTTGTGAGATTTAAAAAAAAAATCCATTATCTAGAGGAAGGTCCCTGGGATGGACCTCGGAGAAAGAAACAGTTATAAATAGGCTTTGTTGTTTTAAGATGGTACAGTTAGAAATGTACAGCAGTTGTAACTGGAATTTAAATGGAAAAGGAAAAGAAAACATTTTTATTCCTCAATTTTCTTTTTCTCCATTTTAATTAGTCTCTTTCAGATGCACTAATTTCTCTTCAGATGGTGTATCCTCGAAGGAATCTTTCAGCTGACCAGTGGAGAAATGCCCAATTATTGAGTCTCATCAGTGCACCTAGTACAATGCTTAACCCTGCGCAGTCTGACACTGTATGATTCTATTTTTCCCTTTTTTGAATGAAAATAGTAAAATTTATTTTTAAAAAATCAGTTAAAGTAATTCTGCAAAATCCTAGTTAGTATTAGCTTATCAGTGAAGTTTATTGTAAAATATTCAGTAGTTAAGTCATACATACTATTTAGTGCTTTTATTTCTAGATTTCGATGCTAAATTAATACCATTAGTAGGATGCATGCTTTCTTTTAAAATTTAAAAGTTTGTTATATTTTCTTGTGGCAGAAAATTTGGAACGTGCAGAAATTTATAAAGAATGAAAACAAAAATTACCTCATATTTTATCAACTAGAGAAAATTGTTGTTATATGCTGTTACATTTCTTTTTAATCTTTTCTTTGTGTATATGAATATGAGGATTATGCACACATATAGTTCCTCATTTGGGTGAGACAGTGAGCATCCATTATGCATAAGTCTTTTTTAACCTGACTAAAATTACCCTTTGAAAACTTCAAACTCTGAAATAGACTTGGTAAATTTGGAAGCTGTCATTTATCAGATTGAATATGATTTAACAACAGTACTTTTTAAAAGAGATTTTAAGGTGTGTAAATTTGAAAGGAGCACAGCTCATTGTCCTTTTTGGACTGCAAGTTTAAATATAGGTTATATTTCCAGCTTCTCAAATTTGTTGTGCTATTTGAGCCAACAATTGAGTAGTGAGACTTCTCAAGAGTCTGAGGAGAGTCATTCAGTATGGGTGTTTTGGTTTTTTTTAATAAAGAATTTCTTTTAACTACAAATTTATATTTTCTCTTTTTAAGATGCCTTGTGAATATCTTTCTTTGGATGCAATGGAAAAATGGATTATCTGTAAGTAAAATTGAATGGTTTTATACTTACCCCTAAGGTTTTAGGTTTTAGAGAAATTTAACAGGTAATATGTATTGCTTCTGGAGCAAGAACTGTGCTAAGCCTTCTGTATATATTACCTCATTGAGTGCTCAGTACTGCCCTGCCCCTGTCAGGTTAGAAGGTCTGTTTTATAGATGAGGAACAAAACTTAATCCACACAGGTATTAAGTGACAACAACAAGGTAAGAATTCAGATTAACTCCAGTTCCCATGGTTTACATTATATTGCCTTTCAACATAGCTGTCAAAACTAATTTTTGTTATTAATGATTTTTAAAATATTGCATTTTTTCAGTTAAGGTGTTGGTATGAATTTACTTCAGAACATATAATAAATGGTTCATATGTTTGGCAGTTAGATGCAGGGGAAATAAAATTACTCCTCATTTCTGCCCCTAAGAAGTTCACAACTCTGGAAGAAATAGACAAAGAGACACAAAGATACATTACAAAATAAAATGCTATAATGTAATTCCTTCTACCACCCCCAGGTCCACTGGCAGAAGGGAATAATTTTGAGCAGTTTGTGTTTTTTATTTGTTGCAATTCTCTTCTAACTTTTTTAAATTTAAAGATTTAAAAAATTTTTATTTTATTTTTTTCATCATCATTTATCTCCTCTATATGCTCTTCTACCTCCACTCATTCCACTCCCCCTAGTTTTTGCAATTCTTGTTTCTTGATTTATTAACCTTTTGACATTATGACTTTCATTAGTGTTTCTCTATAGTGAGAGACCAGTTTTTCTTTTTTAATGATTTTTGGATTGATACTCTTTTAAAATACGATAAAAATTAATTACTCGAATTATCAGAAATAAAGTAATAAGCAAATACATGAAATGAAAGCTTACATTTTTAATCATTAGATTTAATTTAATCCAAAAATTAGATTTTGTTAAGGTTCCTATTCATAAATCATTGTCAAATTTTTATGAAAGTTCAAATGCTTTTAATTTTTCTACTTAATCTTATTATGCACTGGCACTTTGAGTGACAGTCTTATTAGTATAAAAGAGGCAGAATTCAGCACAGACTCCAAGCTCTTAATCATTTTTATTCGTTACAATTTTTTACACTGATCAGGTTTGTGATATTTATATATTTTTCTATAATGATAGTTAAGATTTTTGTGCTTTGTCTGTTAGTTGATTAAAAGACCCAGCTTTTGAAGTATTGATTTTGCTCAAATGTTTAGTGATCCTTGGTGGTTTTATGTTTATGGGTATATAGCTGAAGAACTGGGGTGATAAGTAGATTTAGGTGGCATAGGTGACCTCTAGAGTTGTGTAGCACTGTTTCCCCCAGTCTTTCCCTTAAATGAGAATGCCAGTTGCAGGGCCTTGTGTAATGAACAGGGAGATGGGTGAGAAGGCAGGCTATCCTAATGGAAGATATGTGGGCATGAAAAAGGCAGACACATTTGGGATAACCACAGTGTCAAAGTAAAGATTTACTCTGTGTTTTGCTGCTTTCATATATTAGAACTTTGAGTAAAATTAATATAGAGATACAGAGTTACCTCAAACTCTGCACTCCTTTTTTTGATGACAGTTCCCACACTAGGACTTTTCTACAGATGATGATCTATTTCCCTTTGGGCTTTGCTCTCATTTAGTTCACAGTGTTGTCCTTGGACCAGCAGCGTCACATTGGAACTTTTTAGATATGCAGATGTACACTCCATCTGATTTGGTACACTCCAGATGTACCAAATCAGAAACTCTGTGGAAGGATCCCCGCAATTTGTTATTTAATAAGCCTTCCTGGTTATTTTGATGCAAGCTAAAGTTTGAGGATCACTGGTGTACAAGTACATTAGAGCCTGGGGCCAAGAGTATTCATGGTCTGGAGTTTTGAGGACACAGATATTTGAAATGCAATTATAAAATAACATCCTGATGGTCTTTTCAGGGTTTATTCTTGTTCTATTGGTTGGGCTCAGAGGAGTCAGGGAAAGATTTCTCCTTAAGTCTGGAGTTTTGGACTACTAATTCCAGTCTCTTTTAAACTGATAGTCCAGTTTTATATACTTTCTATATTCAAAGATTTTCTTGAACTTTCTTTTCTAATATTGGTCTTCTGTTTTGTTCTCCGTTACTTTTATGGTTTTAAAATTTAAAAAAAAATTTTTTTTTATTCCTTTATTCAGACCTTGGTTGGGAAAGGAGTTTATAATGTGTGATTTAGTTAATAAACCATCCTCTTAATCTTGAACAGTTTATTTTAAATTATTTTTTTGTTTCTATCATAAACAAATGACTTTGCTTTAATTCATAAACTAAGCCTTGTGTTAAGAAAATAAAATATATGGTAAACTATAATATAACATATTTTCAGAGAAAACTTCGATCACCTGCAGTTTTGTGAAATTGAAAGTATACGGTGAGATGTGAGACACTAAGTGAAATCTCATTTTACAAAGGGGTTAAGAGTAAAAAGAGTTAGTACATTCAGCAAAAAAATCTTTTATAAACAAAATTTCTCTTAAGGGGTCTTTCAGTTTCCATACATGTATTCTTTTTCTTTGGTTGCATACCAAATCAAATAATTGGCTTACAGCTAGGGGCCCTGTTGTATGAGAAATATTTTTATGTTTGAGGAAATTCAAGAAAGTTAAATATACTTCTGCATGTATAGACTCCACAATAAATACCTGTTTAAAGAGTTAGCTTGCTTGTGTAGTGACACTTAAAGAAAGGTTGCTCTAAGAAGAATAAAAAGATAAATGGCAAGTTATATATTAATGATTCTGGAGTTTAAAGATGGGAGTAACTATTGAGAATTGTAGGGAAATCCCCCAGAAAACAAGACTGGATTATAACTGGCCAGTAGGCACTGAGTAAGTGTTGTTGAATGAAAGAAGACGGTTTATGGCCTATTATAGAGGGCTAGAGAGACATCAGCAAACATATATAAGCATAGGATTATTCAAGGAACAGGACCCAAAAAAACTGGAATTATCTTCTGGAGGACAGGCCCCTTGTAGTACAGGCTTCCCTTGCTACGTGAGTGTTCTAGGAACCCAGCTGTATCAGTGTACTAGCTGGTGATATTGGGAGAGGCGGAGTTTGGCTTCAGTGAATTTTTTTTTAACCTTCTTTCAATATTTGCCCATTTCGTGTTGGGTGATTTGCAAGTACACCTGCCCACACTGCGCTGAGTAGTTCAGCATTTTTTGACCAAAAACAGCGAGATCCCCATGCCCCACCCTCCCTTATTCACCCCTGAGTGACTCTCGCCCTGAGTGACTCCCCCTCACCCCCCCCAGATGAAAAAAGTCCTCAAAGGGAAATGTTTTGCTGATGTGGAAGAAGTGAAACAAAAACTGGCAGGGACTAAAAGACATCAAAATCAATGAGTTCAAAAAACTGTTTTGAGCAGTGGAAAAAATGTCTTTAAAGGTGTATTGCATCAAATAGAGAGTACTTTGAAGGTGACTGAAGTTTAAACATGTAAGAATAAATACACAGTGTTTTATAAATAAATTCCATTTTTCGAAGGGTCCCCCTCATCTTTGTGTAGGATTTCTAAACTAGATACCAAAGGCGAAAGATTTGAATTCATATAGTAGAGTACAGCATAATATATTGAAAGAATTTTAAGGGTAAATACTTGAGGCTAAGTCTAGCTTTAATTTAATAGTATAACTTTAGTTAGTTCTTTGAACCTTTATTTTTTCAACTGTAAAAGAATATTGACCTGCTTTATCTACTACACAGGATCATGTGAGATAATGTGTGAAAAAAATTATTTAATAAACTATAAATTACTGTGAAAATATAAGATACTATTTCATTTATTCTGGTGATTTAGAAAAGTAGATTAGCTTTATTTTCATTAATTGCAATTGTGATGATTATTACATGTTAATTAGTAAATTTGATCTTTAGCTTCAAGTATTTTTATAAGTATTTCTAAAACTGTATTTAACTCATTTACTAAAAGGACTTCCTTCACAACCCAGAAATGATATTTTTTTCCCCTTTTTGTGAGTCTGGGTTCAAATAACTAATTTTGCAGAATACAGAAAATTATTGAAAAAACAATATTTTTGCTATTTTATATGTATATGAATTATTACCTGTCACTAAAAAGCCTCAATTTAGTGATCGTGTTTACATTTCTGTATTTTCGAAAAGCTATTTTGTAACTGAAAGAACTTAACTTTGGAAACTTATATTTGTATTTATTATTCTTTTTTATTTAAAGTTGGCTTTATTTTGTGCCATGGGATCCTCAATACTGATGCAACAGCATTGAACCTTTGGAAACTAGCTCTTCAAAGTAGCTCTTGCCTCTCTCTCTTTCGGGATGAAGTTTTCCACATTCACAAAGCTGCAGAAGACTTATTTGTAAACATACGAGGGTATGGCATTTTCTTTTCTTTTTTTGTGTTTTTAGCTTTTTTGGATAAGGATTGTGAATGGATTATCTTTGTTGTGGTTTTTGGGATAGAGAAGAGTCATATCATGCAAGAAGATATTGCTTGTTTATCTTACCAGTCACAGCAAGTTGTTTTTAACAATCATCCTGATATGGTACTATTCATATTTTTTTACAGGTGTAACAGTTTAAAATATCTAGTGTTCCTGCCATTTTCAAATTTGTATTCCAAGACAAAGAAGATAGGTCTTTTTTTGAAAATCATGATATGGTTTCAGAGAAAAATATTACTAAAAATACCATATACATTTTAGAGTTTTGAACTCTTGAAAGTGCTATTTTAGGTTACATTGTATTTATAAAAGTATATGAATCAATCAAAAATGTTTTGTTAATTATAACAGTTAGAGAAGTCAGACTGCTGCATATTTGAAATTATGTTTCCTTAATAGGAATTCCAAATGACTCATTCACGTTCATTTTCTGTAAAGCAAATAATTTTCAGAAGTTTGTTTCTTTAAATTTTTAATGACTGCATTTTTTTCCACATGAGGTTCTGTAACCAATATGTAAAAGGCAAGTTGATATCAGACTTGGTATCTGGTGATGAAATCTTTTGAAATTAGGAACATCTAAAGTGTCCTGGAATCTCTTGCACCTAGAAGTGTTTTGCTGGGCTTGTTAGTTTCAGATAGAAATTAAATTTACTACATTTATTTCATATCCCATTTTGTAATATCCTATTTAAATTGAGATAAAAATAAAGCATCTATTATTTAAAAATAAAGATATGTTTAACACTCACAATTAAACCAGTATGTCTCAAATTTTAGTTTGCTTAAGAATTACCCTGAGATGGGAATTAGAATCCATGTTCCTGGGCATCATTCCAAACTGCATCTATTTCCTGTATTTGTTTCTTGGAGAGGTTAAAGGATTCTGCCCCATCTCCATACCCAATAATTAATTGAGGTAAAATTTACAAACAGAAGTGTACAAATTTTAGATGTAAAGCTCAACAACTGACTACCTACATTAAGATATAGAACATTTGCATTATAGTCAGAAAGCTCTCTTTTACCTCTTCTGGCTAGTACTGTCACTTTGGTCCCCTTCCCTTCAGCCCCTTTCTCAAGTATCCACTCTTTTTATTTTTGTCACCATAGGTAATTCAGACATTCTCATGCAGGTAGTACATTTGTACCCTATGTACTCTTCAGGTCTTATTTTGCTTTTATTTTAGATGATGGAGTACCCAAAAATACCAAAGTCCTAAGAGTTTTGTCATTTTATAATTCATTCAGATTGAAACTCATGAAACTTGTGTGATGTCTTAGCATATTGACAGTCTTTCTGTGGAATCATATTTAAATATATGTAAACATTTAGAACCAGGTAATCTATGTATACTGAGTGAGTTTTGTTATATGTGATACAAGGAAGTTTAATGACACGATATAATGAGTTGTCTTTTTGTTACGCTTTTTTTAAATGATAAATTTACCATTTAGATATCTCTATTTAAAGTTTAGAAGTTTTATTTTTTATGTAATAGTGGATGATAAATCCAATTTAAAATGTGAATTACCATAGTAATTACAAGTCAGATCCTAAGTATAAAAGCTTTATAATTACAAAGGACACTGATTACAAATTAGTGTATTTTGGACATGTGCTCAAAGAACATATAAATCTTATAATACATAATTTAGAAGTTGAAGTTCTTAGTGTTAAGTGGTTTTAGCCAGGTTTTCAGAAAGATAGATTTTCTTTAAAATTTTAGGAATGTTGAGTTTTGTATCTAGTATTCATGAAATTAACATATATTTATTAGCATTTATTTTTCAGATGGCATCTTTAAACTGTTTGATGCTGGTGTTGTTTCATTTAAAGGAATCAAATGCTTTCCTGGCCAGTTTTCTCCACCACAAAACCCCTATCCTTAAACAGTCGCTAGAGTTGATCAATAGTATATGTTCTTTTGGAGTTTTTTTAATGCTTATGAGATAGCATAAGAAGTCAGGAGTGATAAAAAGTCAGAAGTAATAGCTTTGAGCACTTTAAATTTTTAGAAATTACTGTTAATTACATGGCAAGTATAGCTTTAGTGTCTCTATTGGGCTTAAGAAATATATTTAATAAAGTAAAAATCTACCTGGTAAACTTTATTTTATTGTTTAATATATTTTGAAATTTATTTTTCTAGGAAGCCTTAACTCAGTACTTAAGTTGCTAGCTAGGAAAGGATGTAGGGAGACCCCTTCCATGCATTTCCAGTGTAAGGACCAGTTTTTCTTGTTGATAATGTGTCATTTTTAATTGACTTCTGGCATTTGATTAATTTATTTTGACCATTATTGCTCAAATTAAGATTAATGTGGTTCCAATTTTTTTTTTTTGCACATAGCTATAATAAACGTATTAATGACATAAGAGAATGCAAGGAGGCAGCTGTGTCACACGCGTAAGTAGTTCTGTCTTATCTGTAGTACTTTGAATCAAGAAGAATTTATTTCTTAAAGCATTATTTTGCTGAAGTGAGTGCATATTGATGGTATGCAAAATATGCTAATAAAAGTGGGGGGTCTTATAATCAATAGGAAATAAGTATATTACCTCAGTATTTAGTAAACATATCTTCATATTCTTCCAAATAGTATTTACTTTCCAAAGTGTGTTAACCCCACACCTATTTCAAATTTTAGTGAATATATTTGTGTTAGTAAATATATAGATAAATTAAAATTAGAAATTGGCATATTGATGGTCTTTTCAAATTTTTTGTGAAATAACTATAAATAATTTTATAGTTCATTTTAATTGTGTGTACAGTATACTTGTGTAGAATGTCTGATTCATCAGTATTTTTATAAGGCAGAAAGAAAAGTACTTCTGCCATATATGGAAAATATAAAACCACATGAAGTTTTAGAATTTTAGGTTTAAGCTGTAGGATGAATATGGGAATTTAAACCATCTTTTTGCATTGCTGTCTGTGCTACATAATTTCCTCATGCGTATATTGTATCACTTAAATGAAGTGCTTATATTATTTTTAAAAATATTTATTTGCTTTTAGAGGAGAAGGGAGGAAGAAAGAGAGGGAGAGAAACATCAGTATGTGGTTGCCTCGAATACACCCCCAATTGGGAACCTGGCCTGCAACCCAGGCATGTGCCCTGACTGGGAATCGAACCAGCGACCTTTCGGTTCGCAGGCCAGTGCTCAATCTACTGAGCCTCTCCAGCCAGGGCTGAAGTGTTTAATTTATACTGTTAAAAAATCGTTGTCTAGTATAAATAGTACTTTAGATTGTGTTAGAATTACTTTCCTGATCTACAGAAGTACAGAAGATGATTATCACTTCTTCATGGGATAGACCTTATTGTAGCACACGTATGGTGTCATAGCTATTATAAAGATTTTTTAAAAGTAAAACATTTTTATTTCTTACATAAAATAATCACAAAGGTTAAGCAGCATTAATTCCTATCATTCATTACCATACATTAGGTGTAGGAGTTCATAATTCTCTATGTTAATAACACCACAGACTCCTTGTAGCAACTCTGTGTAGTAAAATAGTCAAAATAACATCTGTCCACTTTCTTCTTAGAAATTAAACCAGATTATTGTCATCAGATAGAAAAGAGCTTGTCACTGGAATTAAAATAACATTGTTAAAGACCATATATATGAGGCATTATGAAAGATGTATTTCTGAGGCAGATGTCATCATTCCTGTTTTATAGATGGCTGAAACTTAAAGAGGTTGAACTTAAGGTCACGTAGGCAGAGGTGGATTTTAATCTGTTTTCTACAACTAATCTGCAGTCTCAAAGCTAAATTTCTCGTATTGCATATTCCTGATCCTTGGTTTTCTTGGCATGGCTGGGGGGAGGGGTGTGTGTGTGTCCACCCCCCTCCATTTATTTTTTGCACCTGTATAAATCTTAAAACTTTCTTAGAGCAGTGTATATTTTACATAGTATGAGAAATTGGAATACTTAGAACATTCTATGATTTTTCCATGTTAATATATGAGGGTAATTGTTTTTTACCTTGCACTTTATTATTAAAATATTGAATATTTAGCATATGAATATCTATGGTTAGTTATCCTTTTCCTTTTCATCCTTCTCTTTTTGAACTAGAGTACCAAATCTCTAATATGGCTCTGTTTAGTCAGCTTTTTATATTTAATAGAAATATACTTAGTAAATAAGGATATGGATAATTAGATAATTTATTGTTGTATTTATTGATTTCTATGTAAGGGTGACAGAAATGTATGCAGTAGGACTGTGAGTGCTTTCAAGGATTTTACAGTCCTGTTTATAAAATGCTAGGGCTATACGATACTAAAATTGCAGAAATTACTCAGAAGTAAACATCTGGTTATTGGGAAATGCTTCTTGCAGCGATGGTCTTGAAGTTTGGGTAGTAGTTTGATAGGTAGAGAGTAACATAATCATGTTACAAAAGCAGCACAAAAAAGGCAAGGATAAACATAAGATTGCTAAGTCATTTAATGACAAACACAAAGAACATGATATTTGTAAGGCCTTTCTGTTCCATAAAAAAAGAAGATTTGGATGTTGACCCTAAAATGACAAGTTATTTAATTTCCAATAATAATTTTAGTATAAACATAAAATATAATAGTGTCTTTTCCTATAGTGGTTCAATGCACAGAGAAAGACGCAAGTTTTTAAGGTCTGCACTGAAAGAATTGGCTACAGTCCTCTCTGATCAACCTGGCTTGCTGGGTCCCAAGGTAATTCTTATCTCAACTAACCATTCTACATTTTCCTCACTTCTTTCTTGTAAGTGTGCTCTCTCATACATTCTTCCAGCATCTCTTTGGTCATCTCATTTCTGTCATTGTCTTTTTGAACTTGATTTTTATCAATCCTTGACAATGATTTTTATATTTGAATAGGTTTTGTTTTTAATCTCTGCGTGACAGTAAGCAGTGTTTTTTGTTTGTTTTTTTTAATTAGGCACTTTTTGTTTTTATGGCATTATCCTTTGCCCGTGATGAAATTATCTGGCTACTTCGTCATGCAGATAACATGCCAAAGAAGAGTGCAGATGACTTTATAGATAAGTAAGTTAGCAACATTTAAAAAATTGTCTTTGGCGTGGAATTTGGGGCCTTTGAAGTAAAATTATTTCAAAAAAATTGTAAGACTTTTCATATTTGTCATAAACATTTGTAAAATAGCATTAGATCATATGATTTAGAATGCAAAGTCAAATTGAGTTTAAAATTATGGCTTTTAGTATTTCCTTTCCTGGTACTCTAGGTGGGCATAAAGTTCTTGTTTTCTTCCTAAATCCAGTAATTTTCCTGTGGAATTCATGTTTTGAAGTGCCATACACAAAAATCTAAGAATCCTTATGGAGTTGCAACTAAATGTGTTATTTGAAATGTCTTTTATTTCTGTCAAGTCCCTCAATAGAAGATGCATAAATGAAGCAGGGAAATAAGAGCTTACAGAAAAATCTTATTTCTTCTCAGTCCTCTTTTTTTAAAAATGATTATTTATGTTCATTTGAATTTTCCTCTATTAGTTTTTTAGTCTTAGCTTTTCTTTCACTTTTTATGATTTCTTTATTCATATAAAATAATTTGAAAACATAATTGACATTAAATGTTTAACAATGATTTTTCTAAAAATATTTCTTAGAGTAATAACAAAGACATTTCATAATTTCCTCGATAATAATAAATGTTTGAAATGTTTTTCTTGAATTTAAACGAAAGGCACATTGCTGAATTAATATTTTACATGGAAGAGCTTAGAGCACACGTAAGGAAATATGGACCTGTAATGCAGAGGTACTATGTGCAGTACCTTTCTGGTTTTGATGCTGTTGTCCTCAATGAACTTGTGCAGGTAAAAACTATCTCACATTATTCTCCCTTTTGTTTCTTCCATTCTTCCTAGTAGCTGATCTATTTGTTCAACAAGCATTTATAAAATATAATCTTGTGTTACATGGTAGAGATACAGATATAATAAGTCATGGTCATATCTTGTCAAGGGGGTCTTATCTAGAGGGGAGAATGCATTTAGTTGTGATAGGCATTATGCTTAAATATGTACAAAACTCAGAATGAATACAATCCAGGGAATGATTCTTTATCTTGGGAATGGAGATATACAAGGCCTTGCAAAAGAGGAAGTTAGTCATAAATCATATTTACTATTTGCAAAGATCGCCCGGGCTCAGTGTGGTTGATGGCTTACTAGGGGCCAAGGGAGGAGGCAGAGAGATTAGAGAAAATGGTGAGAGCTGATGAGAACCTAAACTTGGAGAATATCTATGGAGATGATTAAAAAAAAGGTGATAGAGACATATTTGATAACTAAGTATTAGAAGGAAAATAGAAGATAAATCTTTCATGGTGTATTAGAGGATGGGCAGTAAAATTTTTCTTTTTTAATCTAGATATCCTATTTTAAACATCCTCATTTTATTTTCAGTTTGAATTTTCCTCTTACTGAATTTGAGTCCTAGGTTTTTGTTTGTTTGATTTTCGCTTTTCATAATTTCTTTATTTGGTATTTTTCATCTTAATGTAAATTTCTTTTGTTTTTATTCCCAATGAACTGACTGTAGAGAAAATAGTATTTTATTTTGCTTCATTTTATAAAATCACAGGTATCTAAAAACTACTGTAAGCTAACATAGTGTAAAGGAAGAATATCACAAATTCTTTTTTTATTCAGAATAAAACTACTGGTTTTCCAGAGAAATAACCATATTTTGAAATCTTAATTTTTTTGAAACCTACTTAAAAAAGCAAATGTCATGTGGTTGTTAACCTTAAATACAGCTTCTAAGCTATCCTAAACTAGTGTTTCTTTTTTTTACCCACTAGATGGAGCTCAAGTGCTTCCTTTCTAGAATTTTTATTAGATAATGGAAAAGCTGATTTTATTCTGTGTATATTATTGCTTTGCTGCAATTTTATTTGAATAGTTATTACTTACCTGATAAATCAGAGTCTCTCATGTTTTCACAGTCTAAAAAGTAAACCAGACTTCTGGTTTCATTTCATTTTGAAACTTGCTGTGGCTATTTGGATACTTACTAATAAATTTCACAGATTTATGTTATAGTGTTAAAATTTTTAAGTCATTCCATATCTTTGGTGTCTTTTATGTAAACTGTATGTTAACCATCTGAGAAAATGAATTTCTTATTTTTTCTGGAATTAAAGTGGTAGTAGCAGCAATAATACTAATTAATAACTGTCAAATTATTGATAGTATATTTTATTACATCTATAGAACAACTCTTGAGGATAGGTATGGTTATTATTTGAAGAAAAAAATACCTAATGTAACTTGCTTAGTATTGCACAGTTCATAAGTAACAGAGCCAGTATTCGAAGTAGTGTCTTAACTGGGTGCTTGAATTTTTTACTACCTCTTTTGTTGTAAAGCACAAACATAGTGTTTTTAACCATTTGCTGGAGTTTAAATTTAGAACTAACATTAACCTGTTAACATAGTTCATTGTAATAAGGGATTAAATTTTTTTATTGTAAAATATACATAAAATTTATTTTTACCATTTTTAAGTGTATAGTGATATTGTATAAATTCACACTTGTGTAGGTCTTAATGTCTTGAAAATTATTTATGCTATTTGTGAGCTCAGTATCCACTTTAAAAAATGTATTATTTATCTATTTCAGGTGGAGTTTATCAAATTTTCATTTTCTTAGCCAGTTTGAGAGGGTTTTTTGTTTTGTTTTTTTTTTGTTCAAATTTTGTTGAGGCATTTATACCTAATAAAAGTTACTAGATTTTAGTTTACGGTTTTAACTTTGACCACTATAAATACATTCATGTAGCTACCATAACGAAGTGTAGAATAGTTCCAACACTTCAAAGTTTCATTGTGCACCTTTGTAGTTGATTCTCTCTTTGACCAACACTCATCTGCTTTTTGTCACTCTTTGCCTTTAAGAAAAATCATATAAATGGAATCATATATAACTTTTTGGTTTTCATTTCTTTCAATTAGCATAATGTTTTTGAGATTCATCCATTTTATTGTATGTATCATTTTCTATCTTTATTGCTGAAAAATATTCTGTAGTATGGATATCCATCTACCAGTTGATAGACCTATGAAATTGTATTCCAGCTAGATGATTTTAACGTTTTTTTTGTTACTTTTCAGAATCTTTCTGTTTGCCCTGAAGATGAATCCATCATCATGTCCTCCTTTGTTAACACCATGACTTCCCTCAGTGTAAAGCAAGGTAATAAGGCTTTTAAATAAAACCATATTTTCTTTTTAACGAGGCTTTCAGATTTGATTATTAAAGAAAAGATTTAACAGTTAACATTTAAAGAATCACTTACTTTTTGGACATACAGTACCCCACCCCCCGTTATCAGCATGGATTGTATTTCAAGATTCCCATTGGATGCCTGAAACTGTGGATAGTACTAAACCACACAGAGTTGAACCTTGAACAACGCAGGGGTTAGGGGCCCTGGCTCCTTACATAGGTGAAACTTAACTAATGATAGCCCACTGTTGACCAGAAGCCTTACCAATAACATAGTTGTCTAACACATATTGTGTATGTATGTGTATTACATACTATATTAAAATAAAGGAAGCTACAGAAAAGAAAGTTTATTAAGGACATTATAAGGAAGAGAAAAGTACATTTATAGTACTGAGTATATTTATTGAAAAAAAATTTGTATATAAGTGGACCAGTGCAGCTCAAACCAGTGTTGTTCAAGGATCAGCTGTACTGTTTTCTCCTATATATACATACCTGTGATAAAGATTACTTTTATAAATTATGCCCAGTAAGAGAGTAACAACAAATCATAATAAATAGAACAATTGTAATAATATACTGTAATAAAAGCTATGTGAATGTGGTCTGTCTCTCAAAATAATGCCAAACTCACCTTTTCACTTAAAGGAAGCGCTTATGGCTTCTCTTTGGCATATCCAAATTGCCAGCATCATTGTTGTCCTTTTGGGGCCGTTATTAAGTAAAGTAAGGATTACTTGAACACAAGCACTGCAATACCAAGGCAGCTGATCTGATAATCAAGATAGCTGATAAGTGACTGACTAGCAGGTACTGTATACAGTGTGGATATGCTGAGCAAAAGGATGATTCATGTCCTTGGGAATTTTAAGTTCAGTTCTGTCAGTCTTAAAAGGTGTCATATACTGGACTGCCTCTCTGTTACTTGAGTACTTTATTTCAATAGCTATAATGGTGTTTTAGTTTTATATTCTTTAAGAGGTATCAAAAATCTTGACAGTTTCTGTGTAATAAATATTTATTTTATTAATGTATAATAATAGTTACATAATGAAACTATTGTAAACTTGCCTGGTGACATTTGGTTTATATAGAGTTACATTATGGAACTTTAGTGTGTTTAAAGTTTCTATTCACTGGACTCCTCAAGCTCTATTCTGACTCCTTCAGGTTGACATATAAGCCATTGAGAATCAGAGTTGAGTAGAAAAGTCTGTACTTTACATTTCTCTGACCATATAACTGTCTCCTTGAACATCATCTTTGTAGGATTTGAGAATTATTTCACTGTCTTACCTATTAAATTTTTATTTTTTATTGTAAAATACACATAATATGAAATTTACTATCTTACTACTTGTAAGTGTAGTTTGGTAGTGTTAAGTATATTCACATGGTTTTGCAACCAATTTCCAGAACTTTTTCATCTTGCCAAACTGAAACTATAGCTGTTACATAACAACTCCCCATTTCCTCTTCTAGGCTCTGGCATCCACTATTCTTTCTGCTTCTATGAGTTTGACTACTCTAGATACCTCATACAAGAGGAATTATACAGTATTTGTCATTTTGTCACTTATTTATTTAGCGTAATGTCTTCAAGGTTCAGCCACACTGTATAGCATGTGTTACTATTTCCTTGTTTTTTAAGGCTCAATATTATACCATTTTTTTTTTTTTAACCCATTTATCTGTTGATGGACATAGGGTTGCTTCCACCTTTTGGCTATTGTGAATAATACTGCTGTGAACATGGGTGTACAAAAATATCTCCTCAAGACCCTGCTTTTAATTATTTTGTATATATACTCAGAAGTGCAGTTGTCTTAGCTCTTAAAATTTGAAATGTGATTATAGATTTTTGAAAATGTTAATTTGCCTTGTAAACTTTTTCTTTTATTATAGTTGAAGATGGGGAAGTGTTTGATTTCAGAGGAATGAGATTAGATTGGTTTAGATTACAGGTAAGAATAACAATAATTTTCATTATCATTCTATTGTTATTGAATACCTTAGTTAACATGAAAACATTACTTAAAATGAAAAAAATATTCATTGTTGTATACCTATTCAAAAGACTTCTTTTGTATAACTAATCATAATCTTCAAAGAAGAACTTCTTGATATGTAATTGACATAACACTATATTAGTTTCAGGTTTACATAATGATTCAATATATTATGTATTGAGAAATGATCACAGTAAGTGTAGTTAATATCTACCACCACACATAGTTACAAATATTTCTTGTGATAAGAACTTTTAAGATCTACTCTCTTAGCAACTTTCAGATATGTAATACAGTGGTCCCCCTCTTATCTGAAGGGGGTACATTCCAAGACTCCCAGTGGATGCTTGAAACTGTGGATTGTACTATACCTTACATGTACTGTTTTTTCCTTTATGTACAAACCTATGATAAAGTTTAATTTATAAATTAGGCACAATAAGAGATTAGCAACAATAATTATAAAATAGAACAGTTATAACAATATACTGTAATAAAAGTTACATTATTGTGGTCTCAAAATACTGTATTGTACTGTATTCATTCTTGTGGTGATGAGAGATGATACAGCACCTATGTGATGAGATGAAGTGAGGTGAATGACAAGCACTGTGATGTAGTGTTAGGCTACTGTAAGGGTTACTTGAACACAAGCACTGCAGTACTGCACCAGTGGGATCTGGTAACTGAGAAGGCTACTGAGTGACTAATGGGAGGGTAGCATTTTATGCAGTGTGAATAACCTAGACAAAGCAATAATGCACATCCCAAGTGGGATGGTGTGAGAATTCATCATGCTACTCAGAACGGTGTGCAATTTAAAACTTATAAATTTTTTTTAATTAATTTATTTAAAACATAAATTGTTTAATTCTGGAAATTTCTATTTAGTATTTTCAGACCATGGTTGCCCACAGGTAACTGAAACTGCAGGAAGTGAAACTGTGGATAATGGGGGACTGCCATACAGTATTATTAACTGTGATCACCATACTGTACATTACATCCCAAGGGCTTATTTAACTGAAAATTTGTACCTTTTGATCATCTTCACCCATTTCACCCAATCCCAACTCCCTGCCTCTGGCAACCAACCACCAACTTGTTGTCTTTATGAGTTTATTTGCTTTGTTTTCTTGTTTTTTTAGATTTCACATATACATGAGGTCATATAGTCTTTGTCTTTCTTTGTCTCATTTATTTCACTTAGCATAATATAGTCAAGGTCCATCCATATTTTTGCAAATGGCATAATTTCCTTTTTTGTGGATGAAAAATATTTCAGTGCATGTATATGTATGTACCTGTATAGACATATACACACATATATACAGTATATACACACATCTACATATACATAGAGGCACACATACCACAACTTCTTTATCCACTCATCCATTAAAGGGCACTTAGGTGGTTTCCATATCTTGGCTATTGTAGATGCTGATGGAGTGAACATGGGGATACAGATACTGTTTCTTGAGTTAGTGTTTTCATTTTCTTTGGATAATTCATAAGATGGTTCTGTTTTTAATTTTTTGAGGAACCTCCATTACTGTTTTCCATGGTGGCTGTACCCATTTACGTTCCTACCAGTAATGTCTAAGGGTTCCCCTTTCCCACATCTTCATCAGCATTTATCTCTTATGGGTTCCCTTTTCTTCACATCCTCACCACATTTATCTCTTGTATTTTAGATAATAGCCATTCTAACACTGACAGTGGTGAGGTAATAACTCATCGTGGTTTTGATTTGCATTTCCATGATGATTAGTAATGCTGAGCACCTTTTTATGTATCTGTTGGCTATCTGTATATCGTCTCTTCAGATCTTCTGCCCATTTTTTATTTTATTTTTTTAAAGATTTTATGTATATTTTTAGAGAGGGGAAGGCAAGGAGAAAGAGAGGGAGAGAGACACTGATGTGTAAGAGAAATATTGATCGGTTGCCTCTAGCATGCGCCCAACTGAGGACCTGGCCTGCAACCCAGATTTGTGCCCTGGCTGGGAATTGAATCAGAATTCCTTTCGGTTTACAGGATGATGCCCAATCCACTGAGCCACACCACTCAGGGCCATCTGCCCATTTTTTAAATTGGATTGTTTGTTTCTTTACTGTTGAGCTATGTATGGAAGAAACATTTTGTACTAGTTGTTAAGCATGGATTAACTATATTTCTAATTTATACTGATATAAAAGGGTTTTTTGAATAAAACAGATTATAATTGTAAAATGTCCAAATATTTAAATTCCAATATCTCTTGATTATCTAGATTCAAATAGAGGGTTTGACAGAAGAAACACCTGCTTGAATGTGGTTGGTAGGGTAGTAATATGGGTGTAATAATTTATAGCTTTAATTTGAACATTTCAAGTAAAATGTCATATGGTGTGCTTGAGTGTGGTATTGTTATGTTATAGAATTACATGCTTATGATTTTGTAATAAAAGAGTTTGTAATAAAGGATGTTATTTCTGCTGGGCCCTGTATTTAATTCTAAAGTGAAAGCATAAATTTTTTTTGACAAAATATTTATAATCTAGAACCAGTTGATATGAATTTAGGCTTATGGGCCATATAATACTCTTTGTCATTAATACCCATCTCTGCCATTGTAGTGTGTGAGCACCTGTAGACAGTAATAAATGGATATATCTGTGGTCCAATAAAACTATAAAAACAAGCAGTTGGCTCATAGGCCGTAATTTATAATTTCTTAATCTGTTCTTGAAAATTAAATTTTTCTGAAGTACAGAAATAAATACTAATAAAGTATTGGACTTTTAAAATTTTTATTTAATATGTAACTCTCACATAGTTTTTGAAAGCCTTTAAAATTCAAGCCTGAAATCTTTGTGTATATGTAAATTTAATGATAGAATTTAATTGCTCCTTAAATATTTCTAGTAATTATGGGAAAATGGTGGCCCAGCTTCATATTTTAAAAATATATATATTAGTATGTTCTCCTTGTAAAAAGTCAAAAGTATCCAGAAGTAAAGTAGAAAATGAAAGTTTGCACTTTTTCCAGTCTCATTCCTCAGTAATGCTCACTTTAAATAGCTGGTCATATCCTTTTAGGCGTTCAAACATGTAAGTGGGATTATACTATATACTGTTCTTCATCTTAAATATAAAATTTTTACTTGTTTAATTAAAACAATAATATAAACAGTACGTGTTTGCTGAAGCCATTTTTAGATGAATATAGTCTCAAGAAAGACTGGATTCCTAGGAGGAGCATACTTTTCTGGCAATCTGCTTGGTTCCCTTAGGTACTTTTGCTTTCCTCAGATTCTTTCCATACAGCCTCAAAATACATTGGGACTTTCTTACTCTGTGTTCTACGACAGCGTGTTCTTAGAGATGGTTTTATAACTAAGGCCAAAAGTATTAAATAATTTGCCTGAGGTTACAAAGCTGATTAAAGCGTTGGAGGTAGAGTGGTGAGCATAGCTGCCTTCCAAAGCTGATTAGTGGGAGATCAGGAAGAACACTTGAAATATCACTATCCCAAAATATTAACTGAATATATTATAGGTTATTTTCTTCCTATTAAAACATTTATTTATTTTTTAAATTTTTGTTAAATTTATTGAGGTGACATTGGTTAATAAAATTATGTAGGTTTCAGATGTACCTTTATATGTAGCTTTATAATACGTTATATCATCATCTGTTTATTGTGTTGTGTGTTCACCACCCCAGGTCAAGTCTCCTCCCATCACCATTTTCTTCCTATTAAAAGTAAATTTTAGATATTAATATTTCTTTTTTAAAAGCTCTGAAACAATACAGAAGTAGCGCTTATAAAGGGAAAGTAGAATTGCTCAGCCAAAGGATATACACATTTAAAATTTTCAAAGTCATTGTCACATGCATGAACTGTTTCAGTCTCCTGCTCTGTTTGTGAAAGGGCCTAGAAACATTTGGGTTTGGAGAATTTTGTGGAGATTTAGATCCATTTCAAATTTACCCTTATTAAATACTTCCAGAATTATTAAACTTACCCATTTGAATGAGTCACTTGAGAATTTTAGCTTTATTCAGTATGGTAGAATGTAAAACATTTGAGTGAGCATTAGGAATGTAGAACTATATATCCTTATGTGAGACTTTTTAAAATAAAATTTTATTTATTTATTTTTAGAGAGAGGGGAAGGGAGGGAGAAAGAGGGAGAGAAACATTGATGTGTGGGAAATATATCAATTGAATGCCTCTTGCACGCCCCCACTGGGGACCTGGTTTGCACCCCAGGCATGTGCCCTGACTGGGAATTGAGCTAGTGACCTTTCGGTTTACAGGCTGGTACTTAGTCCGTTGAGCCACACCAACCAGGGCTCCCTAAGTGAGATTTTTAATACATAAATTATCTGCCCTCTGATTCTTTCATGTATTCCATAGTTTTTTATATTAGTTTCCTAGGCTGTCATAACAAAGAACCACACACTGGGAGGCTTAAACAATAGAAATTTGTTGTCACAGTTCTGGAGGCCAAAAGGCCGAAGTCAAGGTGTCAGCAGTGTTGATTCCTTCTGAGGACTTTGAGAGAGAAACTGTTTCATACTTTTTTCCTAGCTTCTGGTAATTTGCTGGCTATCTTTGGTATTCCTTGGCTTGTATATGCATCATTCTAATGCCACTTCTCCTGTTTCTCTTCATGTTGTCTTCCTTATGGGCATATCTCTGTGGCAAAATTTTTTCTGTTTATAAGGAGACCAGTCATACTGGATTAGGGCCTCCTTAAATGACGTAATTTTATCTGGATTACCTCTGTATGGACTCTTATTTCCAGATAAGGTCACATTCTGAGGGACTTTGAATTCAACATACACCATTTTGGGGGACACAATTCAACCTTTAAACATTGCTCCTAACCATAATTGGGACATACAGTATTCAGCCCCTTTCTACTGCATAATAGACTCCTGTTTTTTAGTGACATTAGGAC